AAAAAAAAAAAAAAAAAAAAAAGACGAGCACACAACCAGAAACATGAACTTGATTTTATTCAAGCAGCAAGTGAGTGGCTCTGGATTTGGAGTTTCGGAATTTGAATTGGTCTAAAAAAGACCAGGGGCTCACGTCCAGCCCCGTCATCCCCATGCAGGCAGCTGGATTGCCCTGCTAAATGTACTTTCTCTTTTTCTTCTGGTTTTTTCTTTTTTTTTCCACTTTCTTTTTTCCCCCGGCAACTTCGGCAAGTCAATAATAAATAAATAAGAAACTCACTCACGCTCCTCCCCATTATGGCTGGGAGGCCCCTTTTTTTTTTCTTTTTTTTTTGTTTGAGAAAACAACCCCGGGCTCAGCTTGAGGCGCTGGTAGGAGCAGACGCCTCAAGCTTTCTCGGAGGAGGCTCCATCTATTGGTGGGGAGCTGCACCTGCTGGAAAACGGGCCCAGCGTCCCTTTACACATTTCTACATTAAAAAACAGGGACAGGTTGAAACATGTGGGGGGATCGCCTTGTCAATCTGACGGCAGACCGCCATTAATAATCAATGAGACACTAGCTACTCCCCCCCTTTATTCACTGTATGTTGGTCAATGTCGAGGGTGGCCACATTCATTCTCCTCCCTTTGGAATCTAATCCCTAGCCCCTATACCCTAAACCCTTGAAACATGATTGGTTCGGCGCAGAACCCTCACATTTTATAGACTGTGGCAGGCGCAATTTTGATTGTACATATCAGCTCATACCATCCCTGCTTATATCCCGCCTCCATCTTTACTAGTCTGAACCCCTATAAGCCCTTGAGAAGCAGAACGCTGAACCCTGTGCGCCCACAGTCCTCATTGCGGTGAATCTGAGACGTTGCCCATCCATTCTATACACTTTTTGTTCTGATGGGGCGGAACGATTGATCTTTGAGTCGCCTGCGTCTGCAGAGTGTTCTGACAGTCCTTTGAAAATGCTTGGTCTTATCATCTTATTTATTCCCTTCACATATTTTTCGATCTTGTCTGCGGGTTGGGAGTGAGGCTCTATGGGGCAGGCATGGGGCTGGGAGGTTAGGAGTTCAGGGACGGGACAGTGAGTGAGAGGGGGGGATTGCTAGAAGGATGAAGTTAGTCGGAAGATATGGGACTTGATAATCAGTCAGGGGCTTTTCTTCTTTTTTTAAGTTTTTTTCCCTTTTTTTTCTTCTTTTTTTTTTCTTTTTTTCGAAGTCCGTTTTCTTACCTTTTTTAATATTTTATCGCTCTCTGAAAGTCTCTTTTGCTCATGCGTCAGATATTCCAACTTTGGATTTTTTTTAAATCTGAAAATCACCAACTCCATGGGGCACCCTTTTGCTGCTTGCTTGTGTCAGGCCCCGTATCCAAATATGCAAAAGCATTGGCGTCGGCAACGGTGTTTGGGTTTGCTGCGGCATCTCAGGAGAGAGGGAAGAACGGGAGTGTGAAAAATGTGATGACTAAGTTCCACCAGGGTGCCAAAATTGGCGCATCGGTGTTTCTCAATCGAGGTACGTGGGCAATTAGCATCCCGCCCCCCACCCCCACCCCAAAAAAAAAAACTCAAGGAGGAACCTCAAGGACTCTTTCTACTCCTTCCCCTCTGCAACGCCGAGAAATGCTTCTCTTCCATCTTTTCCGTAGTCCTCTCCTTCTCTCTTCTCCTTCTTTCTTCTTCTTCTCACGTCTTCCTCTCCTTCGTCCTCCTTCATGTCCTCCCCCTCCTCCTCCTCCTCCTCCTCCTCCTCTTTCTCCTCCTCTTCCTCCTCCTCCTCCTCCTTCCTCTTCTTCTTCTTCTTCTTCTTCTTCGTCGTCGTCGTCGTCGTCGTCTTCGTCTGCTTCTTCTTCTTCTTCTAATTACTTCTCCTCCTCCTCCTCCTCCTCCTCCTCCTCCTCCTCCTTCATCACAATGAGCAGTTGAAGATACACATACAGTTCACATGGTTCCCACCACATGATACAAGCCACCCACTCCAAGCGGCACAATCACATCATCAGGATCGCTCAGAATTATCCTGGAGAGAGAGCAAGAGAGGGAGAACTGTGCCCCATGCGTCAGCTTTGACTGGTTAAGGAAGGCCGGTGATTTTCACGAGGCGGAACATAAAACAAAAAAGAAGAAGAAAAAGAAAAAACACTCTGCGGGAGGGGGGAAGAGAGAGAGAGAGAGAGAGAGAGAGAGAGAGAAAGAGAGAGAGAGAAAGAGAGAGAGAGAGAGAGAGAGAGAGAGAGAGAGAGAGAAAGAGAGAGACAGACAGACAGACAGACAGACAGACAGACAGACAAACAGACAGTCGTAGTCTGAGAAGTCAGGTGGCGAGAGGGTGAGAAGAGATGGTGGACTTAGAAGAGGAAGAAGAAGAACTCTCTCTCTCTCTGTGTCCAGTACTAATCTGTGAAGTTGGCGCCTTGATGCAGGTACCTCGAAGATGGAGCTGGAGCTATGGCGCCACAGGTAAGTACCGCTGGCCTCCGCCAGCCATCTCCCCCAACTCTACGATCTACCACCTAATAGCGCCACGCTGAAGACTACCACTATGGCTATGGGCGCCCAGCGCCGAAGACTACCACTAGCGCTAATACTACTGTCTAGCGCTGAAGACTACTGCAGCGCTCCTCCTGAGTGCTGCGTCCGAATCCTGAAGACTACTCGTGCCTACTGACAACTACCTACCCGTGAAGTGCATGGGAACTTCCTATGTACTACCGGGTGTGCCTCCTGACTCATGCGAGCAGTCCAGGAGGCTGCTCTTGCCAATGTCGAAGGGAGGCAGGGGCTGCAGCTGCAGCTCCTGCTCAAGCTCGTGAGGAACAGGCTATTTCTGGCCTGTTCCGAAACCCTGTATTCGTGCCTGAGTCTTAGGGGTGGTCGAAACAATGAGGGCCTGAAAAAGGCCCTCCGTTTCAGGCTGGAAAAACTCTGGGCCTGAAAGGCCCAGAAATAGGCTGAAACGGAGTAAGGCCTGCAGGCCCTCGTATTTCAGCTTTCAGGCTGAACAACGGGGGCCTGTAAGCCCTAAGTTTTAGGCTTTTAGGCTGAAAGTGCGGGACGGGCCCTGCAGGGCCCGTGTGGCTATGCAGTATGCCACATATAGCCATCAGACAGTTCTATCCGAATGTTGGTAGGAACCCCTCACCTGAACCTACTGCAGATACTAGACCCCACCCAGTGACTAGACACCCCCAGTCTGATAGTTGTGTAGTTTGCAAGCTATGTGTATACGCGAAGGCTGTGTATGCTCCATGAATCTATGTATCAAGATGTACAGACAGCATCATGTGTGGAAACTTGTGTATGTAGCCCATAGGCCATGTATAGTTTGCAAGCTATGTGTATGCCCGAAGGCTGTGTGTGCTGTGTGAATCTATGTATCGAGATGTACAGGCAGCATCATGTGTGTATATCGAAGAAAGAACGGGGCAAGTTGGACAAGGAAACCCCCCCACTTGAAGGTCCGAACCGAGCTCGAACCTGTGACCTTGTAACATGTAATCGAATGAGTCTACCGTATGAACGACTATCGGAAATGGCACGAACGTGTGATATGCCAGACTGGGGAGATCAACAGAACACCCAAGACCAACACCCACAAGCAACCCCTGCGAAACCCAGAACCAACATACAAGACCATGAACAACCCTTGGGTGGTGCGCAGGCAGTACCATGCGTCAGCCCAAAGGAGTGTGCGTCCAGCTGTGTGTCAATCTAACGCCCTGCCGGTGTCCATGCATGCACAAGGCTGCGGGGTTTTGAACAACCTTATACCACAATGTGCATTTTCAACCGGTGCTCTAACCACTGAGCTACATCAACTGGACAGCGGCGGGAATCTTCAGTTTGGCGGCAGAGCAGAAGAGGTCCTCTCTGCCAACCCTTCTTATGTCTTTCACCTGCTCAGTTAATCCCCTGGTTTCAGGGCAATCGATGCTGGCAGGGGTTGGTGTGTCCAAATGTTCAACGGTTCACTGGGACGCTGGACCCGTTTTCCACCATGTGCTGCTCCCCACCAATAGACTAGAGCAACCAGGCTGGCCGCTAGCAGAGGATGCTCTTATCACCTCTCCTAGTGGAGGCACTGGTTCTGTTTCAAAAAAAAAAAAAAAAAATCACCTTTCACTATCTATCTACCATTACTCCTAGGCCTATACAGGGGACCCCTGCAAGCATAGCTACCTCTCACAATTAAACCACCTAGGCCGCGCCGGACGGGGCCCGGGGAGTGGGCGACAGGTAGGATAGTGAAATAAAAAAAAACGAAAGAACGAAAAAAGTTCAAAAACGAACAAATGAGAAAACAAAAAAAGCAATCCATTTTCAGAAATGTAAAATCCAATGAAAAGCAACAGGAGAAAACGGGCGAGGCAGAGAGAGAGAGAGA